TTTCATTCATCAAGATTTTTTTTATAGAAATAAAAAATATGTATTTTTTTTATTAAAAATCAGTATTCTTCTCTTCTAACTTTTATGTCTATATTTATTATAATGATAATTAAAATATATTTCCCACAAAAAAAAAGTATATACATATGTATATATATAGTATTACTTACATACTTTTAACATTTTATCATTATCAATATCAATTAATACTTAAGGTTTTTCAAAAAAAATATCATACTTTAAAATTAATAAATATAAATATATCATTTGACATTCACATGAAAGAAAATGCTACGTACGTCCCGTTACGGTACCGTTGGATACACATGTAGTTAGTTAAAACACCCGACGAGAAGGTATCGTAACGATGCCATAACATTTCCCTCACCCGATTTTGCTATGAAGCGAACAATTGACTCTATTGTGGAACCAAGAATTCTATATACAACAAGTAAACCTACCATATTACATTTCTCTCACTCGGTTTTGCTATGAAGCGAACAGTTGACTCTATTGTGGAACCAAAAATTCTATATACAATAAGTAAACCTACCTTATTATCTGATTAGTTAAATAAGACTAATATAATTTTATTAATATTATATGATTTATTTGTTGTATATAGAAGATTAATTCCACGGTGAACCTAACTTGTGTCTTCACAGCAAACTGTTCGTATTGTAGATAGATAGATATACTTTAAACATAAAATTTCATGTACTTTAATAAATATAAATAAATAAATGTCATAGTTTCCTTATTTTTATACTCGTGCATCTAGATATGAGCGTGACACCTAATATATATATATTTATTTATTTTTGGTTTGGAGGGCCCACGTCGGCCAGATCCGTTTTAGATTATTATTATTATTATTTTTTTACTGTATTTTTATTCCCAATTATAAAATCCCCTTAACCACTGCAATTGGCTTCAGTCATCAATTATCCTCTCATCTCCAAATTCCTCATCAAAGCAAAAAAGCTCTCTTCTCCATCGTCACAAAATTATCGAAGAACCTCGTGTTAATCTACCTGGTATGTCTTTCATCTTCGAATTTTCAGTTCATAGAGCTCCTCTCTGCTGTTAATTTCATTCTCGTTAACTACCCAATTTGATTCTGTTTGAACAGATCGAAGTTGCTTTCTCAATTTCTTTGAATTTTTTTTTTTTTGATTCATTCTCGATTTGTTTTCGTTGATTTGGATCCCGCTGTTCTATCTGACGCAATTGTGTTCGTGATCTAACAATCTTGAAGCCGTGAAGTGTGTACATTTTTTGCCTGATTGTTGTTGAATTTTGAACTGGATAATGTTTTTGGGGTGTTGTTGATCATACAAACTGGGTTATATTCACCGCCCAATTTGTGTTTTGTCGTTCATGTTATGAGCCAAGGGACACTCATCTGTGGACCCAAATCCTAGGATAAAGATAGGCGCATGTATATGTAGGATAAATTTGGGTTCCTCTGTGGAAGGACTTAATTGAGGGAGATCCTACTGCCCCGTTACGGAACAATTCCGTCGGGGTTTCTCTAACCGTTAGATCAATAATTCACGCCGGTTACATGATGATCTAACGGTTACAAATCCAGACGGAATGGTTCCGTAACGGGACTGTCGCATTTCCCCTTAATTGAATTAATATGGATTTTTTCATGTTGAGTATGGTGATTTAGTAAAAACCTTGATTATCTTAATTCTTTGATCTTGCGAGCACCTCACTTTTCATATACAGTAAGCCTTTCTTTATTGTGGCTTAGGTTGCTTTTGCATGTCTTAAATCCTCAAAAAAATCTAATGTTGGAAAATTTTGTCTTGTTATCCTCTGTCTGGTTACCCTATCAGTGCCAAGAGAAGGGTATATGAAATTTACAAGGATTGTTCTGGAACTTGTGTTCCATAAGATATTTTGGAAACTTGCCAGTATTTAATTGTTGAAATTTTTGTCATGTACTAGCCACCAGCTCTTAATAATTGATGAAGTTGGAACTTTCTGAGGGCCATGGCTGACTGAGAATTACCTTCCATTTGCTCTTGTGGGGTTATATCCATTTTTTTATTTGTGGCTGACAAATCTTTTTTTTTTTTTACCCTAAGCTATTTAATGAGCTTTGTTTTGTGAGAATGTGTGAATCATAATGCTGCACTGAGTCCTGTAAAATTTGAGTTAATTCTTCCATGTTTAGGATCAGATCTGATAGCTTTGAATCAAGTGTTCATCTTTTTCGACCATTTTAGTAAAATTTTTTCTGTTTCATTTCATTTCAGTTGACAGATCAAGGACCTAAGCACCACAAGTCACTTCTCAAATGGAAATTCCTCAATATTTTGCTCAAGAATGGGAATCTATCCCCACCCAGCCCATGGAACCCGAAAAGAATTCCGCGTGCTTCGACTGCAGTATATGCCTAGACTTTGCCCGTGACCCAGTTGTAACTCTTTGCGGCCACCTCTATTGTTGGCCCTGCATATACAAGTGGCTCGACTCCCAAGGCTCTTCAAACGAGCCCCCCCGATGCCCCATTTGCAAGGCTCAAATATCCGAGAAAACCATCGTCCCACTTTACGGCCGGGGACAGTCGTTTTCCGGATCCGAAGCCGAAGGCAAAGTCATACCCCCGAGACCAGCCGCCTGCAATATCAAGGCTCTCGCAAGCATTTTGAATCCCGAACAACAACTTACACCTCCTTATAATCATCATCATCATCAAATTCAAAGCCGGCACAGTTTTTCGAATAATTTTACGAACTATGGGGAATATTCGCTTTCCCCATTTAATCTATGCGGTACAGCAGCAATGTCTCTTTTTCACCCGACTGCGGGAGTTTTTGGGGAGATGATGCACGCGAGGGTTTTTGGTAATTCGCAAAGTATGTACACATATCCCAATTCGTACCGTACAGTTGGGAGCCGGAGCCCGAGGATGAGAAGGCGGGAGTTACGGGCGGAGGAGTCTCTGAACAGGGTCACAATCTTCTTGTTCTGTTTCTTTCTCTTGTGCCTTCTTGTGTTCTGATTGTTGGATATAGTACTCTGCTCAATAGTTTGTATACATTGTACAAAAAATTTGTTGGAGGTTGTATGTACTTGTGAGCACAGAAGATTAGATTTATGGGGTACTCATACAGTATAAGATTTGGAATATACATTTTACTTTACCTTTGTTCTACTGAGCATGAATGAAATCTTCCCATCAGTTTCCCTGAATTGGGGTTTGTAAAGATATTTATACTTGAGAACTCTATTAAAGCTCTCAAACTATAGATATTCCAAGCTGAAATTGAGAACCGAACCTCACTGCAACCTATTATGGATCTAGGGCAGAATGTAAAGAAAAACTTACGAATAACACGGCTATCAACAAAAAATGTGAACTGATCGAAAAACCGGACAAAATCACGCCAAGAAACTATGGGAGATACTTTAAATATTCCGAGCTCGAGACAAATGGAACTTGAAACTATTTGTATTCAACCAAATAACAGCGATAATCTAAACAACTCAGGACCCTACTCACCGTCCATATCACTTGCAAACATCTAACCTATCCCCATTGATAGAGCTAGAGAAATGGCCAACTCGACTAGACCGGGCTATGCAGGTAAGCTCGACTAGACCGGGTTATGCAGGTAATCATGTTACTAGAAAGTCCTTTAGGTTGAATTGAGATATCTTGGTCACACTCTATTATTGTGGTGCTTACGTCAACGAGGTAACTACCTAAGGCCCTCTGTGTTACAACTCCATCTAATAAGGGTCACCAAAATGGAGCCGATCAACCTAAAATAGCTATATTACGCCTTTGTTAATCACTTAAAAGATGAGCTAACTGCAAGACCTAGATGGGACGAGACATACCTCAGCCTAGGGCAAGTGGAAAGACATGAAGAACATCAATATTGTGAACACATCAAGATAAGCAAAACCAAAGGGATAAAAACGAATCTCGGGCAGTCAGTTGTACCCGCGAGCAGCCCTTGGGACAACCCGTTGTACTTACTGGAAATTCTTAGGCACCAAGACACATAATTAATTGGGCATCAAGTTAATCACAGTATAAATATGGGTAAGGTATGATTAAAGCCTTTCGTCCTCATGCTATATAAAAATATTCTCAATTACAGTACCTTCCACATGGGTTGCAAATGAACCGAGCGGCTTGCTAGCCGCTCGAGTCAAAGCCCGACTTGAGCTCGAATTTGACTGAATTCAAGTCGAGCTCGAGCCCATATTTTGCATTGTCGAGCAGCTCGAGACATATGTTGAATTACTAAAATACCTCTTATGTGTGTGTGTGTGTGTGTATATATATATATATATTACAATAGTATAACATAGGTGGGTAATGGTAGTTTTATTTTTCAACTTAAAAAAATTTGAGCCGAACTCGAGCATTTTGATTTTGAGTCGAGCTCGAGCGATTGTATATTTGTATCAAGTCGAGCTCGAGCCTCATAAATCGAGCTCGAGCAGCTAAAAAAAAAAAAAAAATCCTGCTCGATAAAGCCAATGTTCTACTCTGCTCGGCTCTTTTGCAACCTTCATCCCATTACTAACTTGATCATCTGAGTGTCAACATCGGGAGCACTTTCTGGCCTTATTTTGTAGATCATCAACTATTTTGAGGCCAGTTCCATGATAGGTCGAAAAATGTGCATATTTTATATATTTAATAGTGTATTCTTATACACTAAACTTATTCGCACGTTTATATTTTTCGACTTATTTATTATTTGGAAGAATTTATTTGCTTTAATGTTTTATGTGTTATTTTCAATATTTTGGAGCAATTTGTGTACACGAAGTATTAGACTGAATTTCACGTGAGGAATTATCGGGCCTTCCTAACAACCGTCATATTGACCCGCGAATGTGTTATGTTGAGGCCCAATCTGGTGAAGCTATCAAAAGTGAATTATTTGTTGAGGAGATTTAATTAATTTGTTGGAGACCAATTATTTGGAGAAAAAAAGAAAGACGTTAGTGGAGACTTAAAGAGGAATTGGGAGTCTTTGGAATTCTATGGGTTGGGGCTTATATTTGCTTGGGAATTATTTTCCAAAAGAAAACTAAACGCATTAGTACGAGAAAAAGCAGAGCCGAAGAGAAAAAAAAAATAAGAAAAGCCGACAGAGAGCAACCACACACAGACTGTGAAGGAGGCTACACACGCAGAGGAAGTCGCACCTGCACACGAGGGAGATTACTAATCTCTCTTTTATCTTTTTTATTTATTTTACTAGTATGTTAGGCTAGGATTTTTATTCAGTTTTAGGGGATGTTTGAACTCTAACTTTGATTTGTCTATGAATTGAAGGATTTATTTTTATTGTTGGTTAATTGAGACGCCGTATTTATTTTTGTTGATGAGTTGGTTCATGCTATCTGTGTTTAGTGTTTATGAATTATGGTGTTCGATTTAGTTTGGCCAGCTACGTTGAATGTTCATAGTTTAATTGCTAGACTCGAGACTTTAATCCGTAATTATTATTGTCTTGTGTCGTTAATAGTAAACTAGGGGTCGTACATCTCTAGGGTAGCGTGAGCATAAGTTAAATGGTCCGAGCTTTTGTGTCTGTTGCTTAGACTGATCTATTTTCCTAGTAATTAATGCTGCTAGTGCATTAAATCTAGAGAGCTTATTCTATGTTGTCCACTAGTTAGGTTTAATCGAAGAGCCTATTGCGATTAAATATTCAGTAAGGGAAAATTCGGTTAACAGAGCTTGTTGTTAGCTAGGGTCGGTAATTCATTAGCAATTTAAAGAAGGCGTCGAAATTGATTAACGGTAAATTTAGATTGGGTGATAACTGAACCGAAAACTGGACTTCTCTCATTTTATTTGATTTTTATTCTATTTTCTTTTGTTATTTTTATAAAGCCAAACCCCCAATTTTACTGCTTTCATAGTTTTAGTTCGATTAATACGAAATTTGTCACGACTTAATTCCTGCTCCTCGTGGGATCGACCCTTACTCGCCGCTACTACTAGTTAGTAGAGGTTAGTCGAGGAAACTTTATAAATTTAAATTTGTCGCGTCGCGACGCGCGGTCATTCCATCTCAGGCGATCAGGTTACCAAGTCCAACAATCGGAGGTTCAGAGAGTTCTAGTCACCTAAGAATCTAAGTTATTTGGTAGTTCACTATCAAACTGGCACCGTATAGGGGAATACCAGTTCCACCATGGTTTAGATAAGACTTATCTTTCCGCAACCTACATGAGATCTTCCTCTACATTAGGAACATAAACCAACTCAAGAAGAAAGATGCAGTGAGGATGGGTGGTTGCAGACACGACCCTGTTGGGGTCAGGGCCACCCCATGGGATGGCTCGCCAGCAAAGAGTCGCTAAGGATTCCTGTCACCGAGATACAACTTCTCCAGGGGATTCAACTGAGACCCTTGTTGGTGCTGAGCAAGAAAAGTGGGCTGAAAAACTCGCCTTGTCATGGCTACAGGTCCCCCATGTAGATGGAGGTCGCTAAACGAAGTGGATGAACTTTAGGTCTGACTTTGAATGCAACCCATGCGACCAAAGAAACCCAACCTAAGGCTCATAAGGAACATTCATACAGGTGAGCCGAGCCGAGAAGATGGTTGCTGAGGCAGTAGTCGCACATACCCAACTAGCGCCAGTAGCACCGGAGGCCACAATGCGACTTGATAAGCAGCACGATATGTTGAGGTAAGGAGACAACGTGCTAGAGCGTTCGATCAATTCACTAGCACTAACATCATAAACCCAACGATATACTCGCCTTAGAGCGGATGACTGCTCAACGCGAGCTACGGGAAAGAATTGAGGGGTGATGTGGTCCACGACTTTACGACCATCCATTCGCTGACGAACTGTTGGACGCAGATTTGTCTCATGGGTTCCGAGAGGTAACCCTGTCATATGATGGATCTACGGACCCAACGAAACACCTGAGGAGCTTGGAAAACATGGATATTTTACACAAATATAGAGACCAAGTATATTGTAGGGCTTTCTTAGCTACGCTAAAAGGACCTGCACAATACTGGTTTTACAAGCTCGCACCGAGGTCGTTGGAGGATTTTAAGGGTAACTGCTCAATGTGTGTCAACCATTTCTCTAGTGCATGCAAGCATGTACAAACATACTTGACACTTTTCAATATACAACAATGAGAAGAGAAGACAATGAGGGCGTACTTGACCTAGTACATGAAAGAGCGCATTGATGTGCCTTCAGCCTCCGAGGAGGTCAATGCAGGAGGATTTAAAATAGGTCTACAATGAGCTTTTGGAAAGGCATTCCAAATACATTAACATGTAAGAGTGGAAGTAGATTTTTCGCAGTTGGAAGCAAAAAGGGAGAGAGACAAACAACTTGAGGAATGCCGTAGACCTGAGGAGAAAAAGTTGGATCGCGAAGGATGACATGTTGAGAAAAATGGATAGAAACTGATCGAGAGGTTTAACCGATACACACCCTTGGCGGCGACCAGGAGACAAGTCTTTGAAGTCATGGAAAGACTAGGCAACCTGAGCATGTTGGACCGACCTAGGCCCCTTCCAAGAAGAAATGGAGTCCCAATAGTCATCAAAAGGCATACTGTTGTTATCATTGAGACTATGGGCACACAACATACACTTTCAATGAGCTTCGAGATGAAATAGAACGACTAATCTGAGTTGGATACCTAAAAGAATGTGTTCTTCGAGACATGGAACTTGAGAAGGATAAAAATGAGGTGGATACATGAGTTCGAGAGGATCAGGATGAGCTCACACCACAAAAAAAGGGTCAATACACATGATAGTAGGGGGACCAGTCGATGGAAAATCAAATCAAGCCAGGAAGAGGCATGAGAGAGGTGTGGGTAAAAAATATGAGGTCAGGGAGATTCAGGTCGCATGGGAGGTACCCATATACAATTCTGACTCGCTGACCTGCAAGGGGTTTCCTCACCTCACAATGATGCCTTGGTAATTTTGGCTAAAATAGCTAATTACGATGTCAAAAGTGTCTTTGTGTACATTGGGAGCT